TCTACGAGTCCCTGCAGAGTGACCACAGAAGAAGAAGTACCTCCGAGGTGGCGGGTTTGAGTAGAAACAGAAGAAGAAGAAAAGCCTCGGAGGGCTCTGAGCGTCTCTCCTGGTTAGATCTCCCCGGGCCGGATGGAGACAGCACAGGAGCGTCCCTCCCTCCTGTCGGCACGGGAGCGTCCCTCCCTCCTGTGCACGCTGAACGAGAGGAGGATGTCCCAGGTAAACACCTGAGCTGGCCGGGGAAAATGACCTTTGACCCCTTTCCTTTACTTTAATTGAAAAACTTCTGGAGATGACCTCTTCCTTCTTCCAGACCAGCCGGCTCCGGATGAGATGGAGAGCCTTTACGTCCACCTGAAGGCGGCCAGCTTGTCTCTGATTGGACGGTCCGGTCAGAGGGACTTCAGGGCGTCGTTTGCCAGACGATGTAAGAACGACAAAGTCAACGAGAAGCTTCACCTGCTCAGGATCCTCAGCAGCACGTTAAAGGTGAATCACTAAGTGAGGGCGTCGTTGGCCTAGTGGTTAGCTTTAGTCCTCCAAGCGGTCGAGGACTACAGCGGGGCGTGCACACTAACCACTAGGCCACTGGCGCTCCAGCGTGCAAATTTTCAACAATGTAGAATATGTAATTGCTAGTGAAGCGTGTTAGCATGCTATTTGCTAATACACACTGAACACATCTGGAGTTTAAGGGTCCTTATTTGTTTTTTGGTATGTTAAACATAATTTTGACCACCAGAGGGCGCCAGAGAGAGAGAGACATGAGGATTATCTGTGATAACCTTTGGCTCCTCCTTCAGGCGAAACAGTCGGAGCTGCTGGCGGTGGAGCAGATCCTGACCGACCCGACTCTCACCCCGCCAACGTACAGAAAGTGGAGGATCTCCAACTCCGTCTTACTGCAGGAGATCAGGCAAAGAAACCAGGCAGCAGGGGGCGCCGTGGAGCGGAGACCTCCTGATCAGCGCTCTGTGACCTGATGACAAGAGGTGCAGTCAGTGGAGACTGCAGACCAGCAAAGAGCAAGACCGCGTTTGGCGGGTCCTCCACGAGATTTGGAATACCCTCCCATCAGAAATAAAAATCATGAACTGACTCCAAAGCTTTGGTTAACAAGGCGCAACTATATGGAGATAGAATTGTCTCATACATATCCAAATGATGTGTAGAAATATACAAATATAAAAACGTGACACACAAATAAATAAGCTAATTTGAATAAATAAACGTGCATTTGTAAATCTATTTTCGAGATTTGAGAATAAATATTCTCGACTTTGTGTGTGGATTCTGCATTTGTGGTTCGCTTTTGGGCTTTTCTCTCGATGACGTAATTTTGAGACATTCTTACCACACACACGCCCCTCCACCTGAACAACCAGTAGATGGCAGCGTTGTGCAGCCACCGCTGGTTATGGTTATGGTTAGGTATTTGGCAGACGCTTTTATCCAAATGTACCGTCTGTGACTGCTGCAGGATCAACAACATGGAAGCGAACAGTGGACTAACTGGATGGCTAAGTAATAATTAGTGATAACTGTTTCTTGTGGATTGTAGTGCCATTTTTTTTAATCTACTAGACAGTATACATGAGTCCACTTACAGATATCACTGTCAGATGTTACTGGTGTTGACATGCTAGCAGCTAGTTCTAAGTCCCCTGTCCCTAGAAAACAAAACAGATCAAGACACCTAGCACCTATAGTGTGTCTGGATTAAGCCACAGTCAATTCAAGATTTACTTAGCTAGTCTATTAGCTGTTTTTTATTTTATATTTGATTTGTTAGTAGGCTACTAAAGACATACAACAGTCTGATGCAAAATATTTTTATAGATAATTCACACAGGGAAATAGAGAATAAAGACTTGATGGTGAGTACAAAAAACAGAGGGTTTATGGAATCTCAATGTAATAATAACTTTATATTGAGTTTTTGGTAAACCCAATTTAAAACACTAATCCAGTCAGTCTAGATTTTGTGTAGTACTAAACTAAACCCACATGTAATGGTGTGAAAAATAACTGACAGAGGAGCAAAAAAGGGTATCTGGCAGAGGAAGGAATATTTTCATTATTTGTTTAATATTTACATTAAAAATGTATATGAATAAGATGTTACTTTGCCACCAGTAATTGAAACAGCTTTATGTTCATTGGAGCTGGGAAGGTTTCTAACCATAGACTGTAAATATTACTTAAAGACACTCAAACATTTACAGAACAGACGAGAAGAGGTCAAAGTACCGCCCATGAAGTTTGATTGACAGGTGACCACGATCAGATCTCAGCAACGAGCGTGGATAAAAATCAAGTTGAAGATTTGAAACACAGCAAGTTAAACATCTGTCTCGTTAATGACTTCTGTCTATTTCAGTTTACACAACTCAGCAGAGTCTCCAGGATACCAACCAAACCTGAGTCCAGCATGTAGAGGCTGAGTGAATGTGGTCTGGACTCTGTGGAGGAGAGTCATGGTTTCAGAGATGCTGTAGAAGGACAGAATACCTGCTCTGTGATCCAGGTACACTCCTACTCTGGAGGACTCAGGACCTGAGACAGGAGTGCTGACTTTGTTGTAATAAAAGTTATATCTGTTGTTGAAACAATCTAACGACCAAGATTTGTCATTACGTCCAAATACACTCTCACTCCCTGCTCTGCTGATATTCTTGTATGTGACTGCTACACAAACTCCTCCTATTCCTCTCTTCTTCACTTCCCAGTAACAACGTCCACTCAGACTCTCTTTACTCAGGACCTGAAGATAATCAGTGAATCTGTCTGGGTGACTAGAATAAGGATTGGTCTGACTCGTTACTGTTACTTTTCTGTTCCCATCAGATAATAACAGCTTTGTGTTTACTGTGTTTGGATCCAGTGTGATGTCACATGAATATTTTAAGAACTCAGCTCTGGTCTTGGGCTCTGGTTCTGGTTCTGGCAGTAAAACATCCACTTCAGTCACTGTCTGTGAGATGTTTGTCCATTTCTCTCTCAGGACGTCCTGTAGTTTATCTCTGACTTCTGACACAGCCGCTGTCACGTCCTCAAAGTACCTCAGAGGACGGATCTTGATGCTGGATGAGTGTGTAGATTCACTGAGTGGTGACAGTGAGGGGTAGTCGTGTAGAAACTGGTTGTGGTCCTGTGTGTGTGACAGCTTCTTCATCTCAGCGTCTCTCCTCTTCAGCTCAGTGATCTCCTGCTCCAGCTTCTCCTGAAGCTCTCTGACTCGACTCACTTCAGTTTGCTGCTGGGATCTGACCTGCTGCTTCACATCAGAGCGTCTTTTCTCCATGAGACGGATCAGCTCAGTGAACATCTTCTCACTGTTCCCCACTGTTTTATCAGCGGAGCCATTGATAGCCTCCACCTCCTGTTGGAGCAGCTTCACATCTTTCTCTCTGTCCTGGATTCTCTGCTGGATGTTTTGTCGACTCACCTCCAGCTCTCTCTGCTTCTCGCTCCTTTCTGCTGCAGCTGAGACTGTGTCATGACCTTTGTGTTCGTCCACAGAGATAACAGATAGACTGCTGATCAGTGCGAAATCTTCATCACCTCATCATGACGAGAGCAGACGTTCTCCTGGAGCTTCTTGGAGGGCTCCACCAGCTTGTGTTTTGCATAGGCAGGTATTTCATAATGAGGCTGGAGGTGTTTCTCACAAAATGAGATCAAACAGAAGAGACAGGACTTACAGGCTTTCAGTTTTCTCCCGGTGCAGACATCACAGGCCACATCTTCAGATCCAGCATAGCAGTGATCAGCAGGAGCAGCTTGGAGTCCAGTCTTCTTCAGCTCCTCCACTAAATCTGCCAACATGGTGTTTTTCCTCAGGTCAGGCCTCGCTGTGAAGGTCTGTCTACACTGAGGGCAGCTGTAGACTGTCTTCTCATCCTCTGTATCCCAGTGGCTTTTAATACACTTCATGCAGTAACTGTGTCCACAGGGAACAGCCACCGGATCCTTCAGGAGATCCAGACAGATCGAACAAGAGAAGGTTTCCCGGTCCAGCTGAACTCCTTTCTGCGCCATTTCTCCTCTCGGTAACAACGACTGTCTGAGTTTCACTTCCTCAAAACTGAAAACAAGTTTCACCTCTGATCTACAAAGCATGTGTCTGTGCATGTGACTGTGCAGCTCTTGTTGGTTACACCCATCCTCAAACTGTAGATCTAAAGGGGAGGGAACCAGGAAGTATGAGGACAGAGTGCAGCAGGCTGTGTTTGAGAGCAGGAAGAAGAGGGAGGGCTGATAGAACTACGATTCATTCCAGGAAGAGGAGCGGTTTGAGAGAGATACTTGTTTACAACAGAGAACATTTCTCTGTTAAAAACACTTCTCCTTTCAGATTTTAGATGAACTCTTCTTTGAATCGGAGGGTTTGGAGAAGACCACAAACACAACCAGATATTATTTGTTAAGATTTCACTTCAGAGCCACAAAATGAGTCTTTCTAACGATTATCCACTTCAAATCTATTATTATTGTTTATTTTTTGAAGCATAAATACCAAATAAACAACGTCTCTATGCTTCTAAATGTGAGGATCTGATGTTTTTCTTGGTCGTACTTTATAGAGCAGTTAAAGTTTTTTTCTCTTTTTGGCTGTTGATGGACTTTGACTTTAACTTTGTTGTGACTTAGAGGAAATTCATTTAGCAGCCGCAGGTGAAAAAAAGAAACGTAACCTGTAGAAAACACACTCAGGAACACAGACTCAGACATTAGAGACAAGCAAACTGAGGAAGAATAGTTATAGTTATCCGTTTGAGTCAAAGGTCTGTATTAAACTCAGACATTTCTGTGAACACTTCCAGGGTTTTTCTGAATTTACAAAAAGTGAGAACATTAAAGAGGACATATGATCCCCCTCCTCCACCTTTTCAAACAGTCCCCTCCTCCACCTTTTCAAACAGTCCCCTCCTCCACCTTTTCAAACAGTCCCCTGTGGTCTAAATGAAACATCTGTGCTGTGCTTTGGTCAAAATATAACATGAATCAAGCACCAGAGGAGGTTTGTGACCCTGTATAAACCAGCTCTCTCAGAACACTCCATTTTGGTGTGTGTGTCTCTTTAAATGTAATGACCCCGCCCCCTGAGTTTTCCCCCGTAGACATCACTCCTCTGTAGAGAGAATAAAAATGGTTGACCTGAGCAAAAGTCTTGGGGTGCATTCGAATTGTCATTTTTGCTTAGAAAGGTTCCTAACTGATTGAAATGACCGGGAAGCATTAAAGTGGCGGCCATGATAAGAGCCGTTCGAACTCTCTAAAAGTTAAGGAAAGGTGGGTCAGTGCTTCCTTTATAACCTCCTTTAGATTAGGATAGCACTGGACCATCCTTTACCAAAGGAGATGAGATATGACGTCCCACAATTCCTTGCGGCCGCAACATTTAAAGCGAGTCGTGCATCCGTCGTTTACGGAAATGAACGATGATCGTAAAGTGACTCAGATCATGAAAGAGATAAAAGATAAGAGACATTTTTTTAGATGATGTTTTATTCAACATATTTCATTCACTTAAGAATGCTTTGTGCAGTTGTACATTTGTATGCTTAAAACATTATGTGTAGGTTATATCTTATTAATGTAACAATTAATTTCATACTTATTTTGATGTTGATTTCTGATTGGACAGGAAGCTGATGGTTTCACTTTTCTTACTCTTAGCCTGGTAGTCTGTATTTCTTTTATTTCAAACCCAACCTCGTGGTAATTAGGATTATTTCACCGGTAAGAAGCACAGGGGAAAGTGTTTTAGATGCGCTTTTTGTAGTCCATTTTCTGAACATTGTAGTTTCAACACGGCAGACCCACGTCATTAACCTCCGCCGGCCCGTCGCATTTAATGACGTCGCCTAGTGGAAATGTGGTCGGATTGTCAGAGCAACGAGATCTCCTTTCCCTAAGTCCTTTATGAATTCTCCTGACATCTTTCCTTAACCTCATGACGTTTTCCCCGGGGTTAAGGTAAAGTGGATAGTGAAAGGAGATAGGAGAGACAATTTGAATCCACCCTCAGTCTTATGAACCTAGCACAGTGGAGCCAGTCTTTTGACCTCTGTCTTTTTTTTTTTGATCTACTGTAAAACAAATTGTAGTTTTCACAGCAATATGCATGCAGCACTTAGCACAGCAGCAAGAGTGGGTGCTGTCAGCTGGAGGTTTCCTACTGACGTTTCAAACTTTGCACATTTTGGGCCACTGCTTTGGTTTATGTTATTCAGCCCCCTAGAGTGGATGCTCACTCAGGTCACCATGTGGTGGACTCTGAAGCTTCAGTGTTTATCCAGCTCTGCATGGGTCTGTAAACCTTTCTGTGTTCTAACCTCTCTCCATTTTTCAAAAGCATCTCCAATATTGATCCTAGTTTGAGCACGTTTCTGCTCGTGGAGCTTATTAGAAACATGCAGAGGCTTTTTAGGTCGGGTACAATCACTTCTATCTGAACCACTTCTCTTGACTGCTTCCATCGCTGCAACACCTGTTGACCTGATAACTGCTCTCATATCTGACAAACCGAGGGGCGTCCAAAACGACCGTGTGGGGGGGGGTCTTAAAAGCGCCTACCTTCTCTGGTCCAAACAAATCCAGAGCATTCAGGAGCAGAATCTAAAGTTAGAAGGAGGACATACTGGCTGCTGCATTGTTGTCTTTCCCTGATTTTACTGAGACGAAAAAAAGGAATATTCGTGTGTCAGCCATGATCATCAGAATAAATGAAAAAAAAAAAAAAAAAAAAAGACAAGAAAGCACCGTTAACAGTAAACAAATTTATTTTGTCATCTGCATTTACAGCTGGAATTCTGGGAATTCAAACACGACGTCTTTGCCTGTGAGCTTCTTGTAGACACCAGAGAAAGTCTCCACCTGGGAAAAAAACAAAAGGAGACACATCTTAACTTTAATTCATCATGAAGGGGTCAAGGGTCATGGCTGATGTCAGAGGAGAACACATTGAAAGACTTTTCTAAATCACAGAGGTTAACTGAGTTTGTACACTGCATGGTTTAGCCCCCCAGTAACGGCCCCA